GATCATAGCGTATCTATTTGGCAGGGTCACCATTCTAGTCATCTCTCCGTCGTCCTTCGCGATACTCAGCTTGGCGTTTGCTAGATACGCAATGACACCGATCTTTGGATGTGGAACGCCGCCTCATCTCCTGAAGCTTATTGCTATTTTCGTTATACGTAAGTAGCAGTACATATATACCTGAAAACTTAGTAGCCAATATACTGATATACTTCAACATAAAAAGAAAAAATCCACATAGCGATATTTTTAGTGATATATTTTAAAATTCCGCTACAGACTTCGTGGGAATGTACTCTTGATCAATAATAAGTTAAGCTAATATAAATCGTAGTGATTCATAACAAACCGCTAAACAATAGCGAGGTGACATGATTACTTATTGTGCTGTATCATATAATGCGCGAAACAGCAAGATGAAAGAAATGATCTTGTTATTGCCAAATTATACTGCCACATAAAGTGCAGTGAGTATACGTTGTAAAGATGAAATACAAATTTATTCTAAATACAAGGGGACAGGTTTCCTCGTTTATCTGACTTCACATAACAAAACAAGCCAAACAGCTATTCACCGAGTTTTTTTCATGAGACGTCATTCCATATAAAAATAAAATAAATGTTTATTTTATACAAAAGAAACTTTTACTCTAGTTCACAACATGTCGTATGATATCACTGCTACGCCGACTCGTACAAACTTTGGACGCCATCCCGACAATTATCATTATGCATAATCATTAACATTATAATTATGAACAATTAATAATCAAAATAACTAATAATTATTTACAATTAATATAATAATTTAATTATATACTTACATTATTATTATTATTATTTATAGTTAATTAAAGTTATTAATTAACGTATGACGGTCAAAATTTCACAACGGTTTGACGTAGTTAGCGGGAAAGATCCCGATCCTGCCATGCAGCTCTCCTTCCCACCAGTCGAAGTCGTACTGGGTCTGCGTGAGAAGGTTAATGAGATCGCCTCTAAGGAAGGACAGGTCGCATGGCATCTGACCAGTGAAATCTGACACGGCTCGCACCACCGGCGCTGTATTCGATTCGGTCTCCGCGTCTGTAAGACATTTTTAAGTTTGAATTTACAGACGGCATTAGGCAACAAACTTCGCTTCAAGTGAAGGCGAGTAGCTTTGTTTGGGGGGGGGGAGCACGCTACCGACGATAAGGTAACACGGTTGCGTAGACTCTACTGCTCCACGATAAGAGCCAGCAGAACAAGAAAACAAACGATTTATGGATTGGAAGACGCATGGGTCGATTTTACGCCTCTACGCAATGCCATGGATCTGTGCCCTGCAGAGCAGGTGGCCAACTCCGTACACTCAACTCTCCAGCTTCATACACACACAAGTATCATATATTGGTATCGCACTAAAAATGGATTTGCCTATGATGTTTAACAATTCATTAGGAATTAAATAATAAAGATACTGACTCCGTGGCAAATTAGATCGTTAACGTGACATATTAATTAAAGAATTAACATTTGGGTAAGGTATAATTGGTCTTCGATATCAAATTCTCCAAAAAAAACTTCCACTATTTTTAGTGCTTTTAGTCAACTCGATTGCATAATTTTACAAGAGCCTGTTACCACGCATGATCTACGTCGTGCTCATATATAATATATAATAATCTTTGATATATTATTTTATTAATAAGAAATACGCAAACAAGCCGTAGCTTACCTGGCCATTGTTCTCTAAGCTGACCGACAGACGATGATGTAGTCAATTTTTTAGATTCGCGACCGAGTGCTGCACTGTCTGGTTTGTCAGTGGCAACCTTCCTTCTGACAGAGAGCTGTTTAGGGACGGATTTTTCTTGCTTCTTCTTCTTCTCGGCTTTAGCCTCTTGTGGCTTCTTTCCCTTGTCACCACTGAGAGTGAACGTCTGCAAGTAGCACACACATTCCGTGTGGTAAACTCGTCGGCTACCAAATACAACAAATCAAAATGATAATTGCGTTATAAAAGAACTCACTTGTTGAATTGACTGTTATTATTCATTTATTCCAAAGGTTGTATTGATCGAACTACCGTACTGCTCCTAGTAGACAGCGTGTTGCTATTTCTCGTGTATCTGTGTACAGTGGCGTGTGCGTGGGTGACAGTGAATGCTGTAGGGGAGAATTTAAAGAGCGTTTAAGTAGAACCTAACTAGAATTAGGCCACTAGTATTATTAAACCGAATAGAGTACAGAATTCTATAGTACGCATTCTACAGTATAGAGTACGCATATAGAAGAAGTACGTTGGTATAGTAATTACAATTCGCATTTATTTTGATTATTGCAATGGTCAAAATGTGTGTGGTCACGTTGGCATGTTCACCTTGTAGGAAACACCGGCGGCGGATTTTTGCACTTCCTTCTTCGCTCGTCTCTTTGCCTCGCTGACTACGTACTGTTGAGCGGTGGTCATGTGACTATCAATGGCCGCATATAGAACCTCTGCCTCTGAAGGCACATCGATGCCTCCGACTAGTATCTCACGACTTCTGATCTTGCGGTGATAGAACCTGAGACCAGGGAGGATATAACTCAATATTAATAATGATGGGTATATAATTATAATAATGGATATAATAATAATAATAATAATAATAAT